AAAGGGGGCAGAGACTATTAAACAGCTTCATGGTTATGATTCAAGATGGGCTTCAAAATACTAGTGCTGATAAACCTCTTAGGATTACAGGCGACTCATACGAAGTTCAGAGAGCCAAGGAAATGGTATTAGAGTTAATTCATAATCAGGGTGGTTTCTGAGAAGTGCAGAATGAGTATGGCTCAAGAATAAGAGGAAATGAAGGGATGTCCCAATTTCAAGATTTGTTGTTGACATTGTAATAGGAAGAATGGAAAAATAACAAAAAAAAATGATGCTGGTGTTCAAATTCAATTTAAGTCAGATGATGGGACAATACCCGATAGGATAGCACAGATAATAGGACCTCCAGACAGATGTCAGCATGCTGCAGAGATTATCACTTCTACGAAGTGTTCAGGCTGGTAATCCTGGTGGACCTGGACCTGGTGGGCGAGGACGAGGCAGAGGCAGAAGTCAAGGCAACTGGAATATGGGACCACCTGTTTTGGTGGACTACAGGAATTTAATTTCACTGTGCCAACTAGGAAAGCTGAATTGATAATTGGAACAGGAGGCGAAACCATAAAAAGCATAAACCAGCAGTCTGGTGCAAGACTAGAGTTTCAGAGAAATCCTCCTCCTAACGCAGATCCTAATATGAAGTTATTTACAATTCGTGGCACTCCACAGCAAATCTGCTCTTGGAGCATAGCCTCCAAGACTATGCTCAGCAACTCGTAGAAGAGAAGACTGAGGGCCCAGTAAATCCTTTAGGGCCACCTATACCCCATTGGCCCCATGGGGTTCCAGGTCCTCATGGGCCTCCTGGGCCTCCTGCGCCTGGAACTCCAATGGAACCATACAACCCTGCATCTTACAATCCGGAACCACCTGGTCCAGCTCCTCACGGTCCTCCAGCCCCACATGCTCCCCAGGGATAGAGAAATGCATATCCGCAATGGCAGCAACCCAAACGCAAGGTCAAGGTAACTACGGCGATCAGCAGAATTCAGCTCCAACTGGACAGGTTGATCGTACAAAGGCTTGGAAAGAGTGCTACAAGAAAATGGGTCACGCACTTCCTGCTCCTACTGGGGCCCCACCAGGTGGGCAGCCAGATTATAGTGCAGCCTGGGCTAAATACTATAGACAACAAGCAGCATACTATGCCCAGACAAGTCCCCAAGGAATGCCGCAGCATCCTCCGGCCCCTCAGGGCCAGTAATAAGAAGAGGAGAATACAGTATTTGCTTCATTGTCTAGGGTGGGAAAAAACCTTTGTTAAATATATGAATGCTGATAACTTGATGAAGATCTTGTTTTTGGTTTAAAGTGGTGTTTTCCCCCTCCCTTTTTTTATTTTGAAAATGTACAAAATATCTATCACTACTGATAGGAGGTTAATATTTCTGTGTAGAAATGAAAATTGGTTTGTTTTTCGTCTTTAGTGTAGACGTACACACTCCAGCAAATGTATTTGCAACGATTATGTGGTCAATGCTTTGTGATAGAAATGTACTTTTTCAATGCATACTTTCACCTTTAAAATGCCTGTTTTGTGCTCTACAATAAATGACATGAAACCTCCTGTGTCGGAAAAAAAAAAAGAAGCTAAATGACCACTAGCTAGACAGGATTTTCTGGGCAGAGAGAATGCTGGGAAAAGAATGCTGCCTCCAGACAGAAACAGAGGAAGCAGGAAAGCAATATGAGCAGTCCAGAGTAAAAAGTACAGCCAGAAGGTAAAAAGTAAATTAATAGAAATGGGTTTTACTAAGGTAAAGGAGCTAATTAAAAAACAAGCTTAAGTAATTGGCCAAGCTTTCATAATTAATAATAAGTCTCTCGTTCATTTTTTTAATGAGTTGGTAGCCCGAAGAAAAATATGTCTATGCCTGTCCATTGATGTGACAACCAAACATGCCTCTACACATGGTTTAAGATCCTCTGTGGGAGGGGAGGATGAATACCTATGCGCACCAGGGGTGACAGAGTCAGGTTCTGTGAGAAAAACTGAAAATCAAGACATTTGTGCCTAGGAAGAGCATCAAGTGACAGTGCCCAGTGGCCCTGTGTAAGCTGTCACCCTTGGGTGTCTCCAGATATGGCCTACTTTCCATTTTGTTGGACTTCCCAGGAACAGTTGTTCTGAGCCGTGCTTATTAGAAAGTTCTTTCCTACTGAGCCCAAACTCGAGTCTGGGACCTTACCTCATCAGTGCACCCTGCAGAGTCCTAACCCTTCATGGGCTGGCACCGGAAACCATGCGTGTTACTGCCATCTCCCAGAGACTCCTGCAGACCCCTGGCACATACAACAAAAAACAGCAACTGCACCTGTCCGGACGGCAGGGATTCTTTGTCTGAGAATTCAAACCTCTGGGCTCCTTTTCAGGCCTCTGAGCAAAGGTTGCCAGGGATTTTAAGGCTTCTCGAAATTTTTGACATAGTTTCCTGTGGTCCTGTGTTTAGGAACCTCTGATCTAAGTCATTCGAGATCCAGGAAACAGTTGTGATTTACTTCTTAAAAGAGCTACAGGGGCTTTAGAAAAGATTATTACAAACAAACCCTGAGATAATAGACCTGCTCAAATCCAGACTTTTCTTCAGTTTAAAACAAAGCAAAACAAAACAAACAAGTAAATGAACAACCCCCTACCCTTTCTACGTAGTTTCAAAAGCTTATATAGAAAAGTATGGACAAGAGGGGGCATGATCTTGACTTGTTCTGTAGTCAGATTGGTGAATATCTTAAATATCACCATAGAACCTTCATCCAGCAACTGATGGAAGAACCAGAGACAGAGACCCGGCGGAGCACTGGGCTGAGCTCCCAAAGTCCAGTTGAAGAGTGGGAGGAGTGAGAATATGAGCAAAGAGGTCAAGACCATGATGGGGACACCCACTGAAACAGTTTACCTGACCTAATGGGAGTTCACCAACTCCAGCCGGACTGGGAAGGAACAAGCATAGGACCAAACTAGTCCCTCTGAATGTGGTTGACAGCTGCATGACTGGGGCAGACTGAGGGACCACCGGCAGTGGCACCAGGATTTATCCCTAGTGCTTGTACTGGCTTTTTAGGAACCTATTCTCTTTGGATGGATACCATGCTTAGCCTGGATATAGTAGGGAGGCCTTGGACCTTCCCCAAAGCAATGGGTCTTACCCTCTCTGAGGATTGGATGGAGGTGGGGTGGGAGGTTATGTGGAGGGAATGGGAGGAGGAGAGGGAGTGGGAACTTGGATTGGTATGTATAATGAAAAAAAGACAGTTTATTTTCTTTTTTCAAAAATAAAGAGAGAGAGAGAGAGAGGGAAGGAGAGAGAGAGAGATCTAGTGTGAGGACATTATATGATTAAAAAAATACTGCCTAAAGTGTCTAACAATATTAAAATAGGAGGATTGTACTAAATGTTACTTCCAGAAACAATAATAGAACTTGAACTTTGTTGCATCAAATATAACCCAAAGTCAATATCATTGATCAGCTAACTCAACAGTAAAAAAAAAAATCAAAAAAGTATGGATGATAACAGTACAAAAATAAAATACTAGCTAGATTTATCTTTTCGTGAAGGTGGGATTAAGTATATTTAATTTTCCTCTTTGTGTCCTTATATTTATGTTGAAGCTTTTAGAATGAATACGTTTTATTATTTACACCATATGCACTGCTGTCAGTTTTAAAATTAACAAGGCAAAGATTTTACCACAGAGCAACACCTTTAACCCTTCATTTTTATCTTGAAATCAAGTGTCCTAAATTGCTCAGCTGGCCTCTGACTTTTGATCTTCTTTCCTTCAACCAGATTACAGGTGTGTGATACCACATAATCTATTTTCCAAGGTTTCCTGTATCTTTTAAACCAAATCGTGATGATCGTGTTGATACTGCTTTCTTAGAGATGAAGGAAACTGGTATAAATAAGTGTAAGAAACAAAGGTGTAGTCAGAGAACTGGACTCATTGGGAGAAAGAGAACGTTCGATTGATAGAGTTGGGAAAACAACACTATGACCCTCAAGCCACAGAAAGAAGATCCAGCATGCATGGGACCCCAGGACCCCAAGACCCCAGTGAAAGACCTTGAGTTTAGAGAATGTAACCAAGTACAACAGTGACGATGGTGGCAGAGTAATGAGTGCAAAGATTGGATAGAAAAACAAGCATTGTTTTTTCTGTGCACCCAAGTTAAATCACGGTTTACTCTGGGTAATTCATTAAGTCCCATCTGCCCGCATCTTTACTTTTGGTGACCTGGATTCTAATTTAAGAGTTAGTGAGCTTCCTCTCTGAGCAGGGATTTCTTCTCCTCCTCTCCATAGATTGTTCCAGGAGGAATCTTTCTGAAGTTCTATTCCCTCTGTTCCCGCCCCAAACACTCTGTATACAAGTTTAAACCTCGAACTGTCATCCCTTCTTATGGGTAGATGTTCTTTCTTCCTGGAAAACACTTTCGTTTTTTTCTGGGCAGTGACTCCTGCTGTTCTTGGAATCCAGGCTCAGAATTTTGGGCAGCCCTGCAGCAGGGCCGGAGTGCCTCTTGAACCACAAGGAGTGTTTGGAGGACTTTGTGAAATCCCAACCCCGCAAGCTAAACTTCTTTATTTTTAATTACATTTCTTTCGGGTTAGCTACAAAGTACTGAGTTTCATTAGAATTTCCATACATATGTGCCCTGCTTTTTTCCCATTCATTCCTCCCTCCACTGACCTCCCATTTCTTTCTAGACCCGAGGCAGAAGTTTCCATTTCATCCTGCCCTCAGCAACAGGACACCACAGAGCTAGTCTCTGTTTAGACATTATGGATCTTTGGGGGACATTCCATTTCATGTTGCAAGGGCTGTAAGTGTGCTGGATGGGGCCGGAGAGAGAGGGGGTGTCTGGAAATGTGTCTGTGAATTCTCTGGGTAATGACACTATAAATAACTTGAACTGCCACTGGTTGGCTTTTGGTCATAAAGAGCTCATCATTCTGAGTGCAGTCCTATATAAAAAACACCGGAGACTGGAGGCCACACGAGCTGAGATCTTTGGTCTATAAGGTAAAAGCATGTTTAAACTGATAGTTTGAAAAGGTTTTGAGGGTTTTGAAGGCACTAACTAGAAATGACTTTAAGAGAGATAAAATTCATTAATAATAAATACTAATCTATGTCAAACTAATCTCAGACTCAAAGTAGATGTAGTAGTTGTGCAAGATTTTTTTTTTTAATTCACAGCTCTCTTTGGAGAAAATGAATTTTTCAGATTATGCTTCCCATGCATGGGAAATAAAGAAGTGACTCAGATTGCATGTGTGGCATCCCATGTGGCAGACAGGTACTTTGTTCCAGGGCCATCCTGCATGCCCATTTCATAGCCTGGAGGTGGTAACAGCAATGGGGGGGACTGCATGGGTGACAGGCCTTGGGCTTTGCGGGAGTAAAGGTCTCAGTCCTCCAACCCCATGTGGTAGGTGTCACAACAGGGCCAACATTCTAACACGGGCTTCTCGCTACACCAAGGACCCTTTGGAACCCCACAATAACCAGTTTGCTACTTTTTAAAGGGGAAACCATCCAGTCCTTGAAGTCACTGCAAAGCTGAAAATTTAATAGTGAAGACAAGTAAGTGTCTGCAAGGGCAAGGATGCTCCTGAGAGGCACAAGGGTGGAACCGTCTTGGCTAGCTTGTAAAATTTGAGAACTGAGGCAATTACTTAATGACTTGGCGCTAGACCGGATGAAAATGACCCGTCACTCCTGCCCACTGCAGTCTAGTTTCTTAGAGACTCCCTTTACTAGGATGCCAGGGACATGCAGCCACGCCACAACCCCATGATCCTATTTGTTTAAAATCCCTTGGCACAGAGGCTCCAGGCTCATAGAACCTCTTCAGATGTATAGTCTGTATAGACTGGAGTATATGTATGTATATACTGTATGCATATATATACACATACATGTATGTGTGCATATACATACATACATACTCTGTATAGCTGGAGTGCCTCTGGGATTCTCTGCTCGGTCATGGGCTAGAAGGGTTGAATGGAAGCAAGATCAGTAGTGGTGCCTGGTCACCACCTCCAGCGGCTGCAACCGCAGAATGGGGAAGCTCTCCAGCATGGCAATAAACTCAGGATAGTAAATGCAGTGAAAATCACAAAGGCTTGTCAGGAAACAATTACACCGTGGACTTAACATCCACTAAGCTCTGGGTGTCATTTCAGAAAAGCCACGGGGGACCTAGGCAGCCTCCTGGGCACAGTGTGGACTGCAGCTGAATGTCCCGCTCAGACTTCTGGCTCTTTCGCTGACAAACTTCACCTCTCCCCTGGATTCTCTCCCTCAACCCCATCTTAACTGGACTGAATACCGGTTTGGTGCATGCAAGTCAAGCGCTCTACCACTTAGCTGCCTCTCAAACTTTCTATTTTGACACAGAGCCTCTCTGTGTTGCAAGGTTGGCCTTGAAGTTATGATCCTTTTGCCTCAGCCTCCCAGGGAGGCAGGAGAGCAATGGCAGTATCGTGATTTTGAAGGTGATGAATGGATAAGCCATCCTGGTGCTGGTACTGTTTCTGTTTTATCTCACTGACCTGCAAATGGCTGTGTCTGCTTTGTCACTCAGCAAACATTAAGTGCCCTGACTCTTTCAGGTCCAACAGGTCTGTGGCTTTTGTGCCTGTCAGTGCAACTACAGTTCTCTTGTTGCAAATCAATCTTCCTGGGAGTGAGTGAAGGTATTAAAGAGGCGTCAAGCACTAACTAGAGTGCAGTGTTTTCCACTATATTCCAACACAGCCGCAGAGTCTGATTCAAGCTGGGTTTCTTATCCATGGCTCCGTTAACCCACAGTGTCTCCAATGTCACCCAACGTTGGGCCGGCTTTCATCACGAAATTCTGTTTCAAACTTATTTGAAATATTTAAAACTCCAGAACGCAGCGGTGAGCTGCACAGCGCTGTGTCATGACAAGACGCAGCAGCATTTGCTCCCAGGTGCGCCTGCTCTGGTTTGTATTTCTTCCCCGTGAGCATAGGTGCCTCCTCTCGCTCCACAACACTAGCTACGTGGGTGGCCACCTTTTTCTCCCTGAGGTGCCAAGCTGAAAAGCAGAGGCTCTTCTCCCCCCAGCAGATGCTAAGGCGATAAGCTCTGCCTTCTTGGACCCTGCAAGGCCGAGTTTGAAGTGTCTTTTCCCTCTCTGAAGGTTCTGGCTATGGACCAGTGTCTCCGCACAGGACAACAGCCCTTGTGTCTGGGGACTCCACAGGAGGATGGCTTTGCAGGACCCTCAGTAGGTAAGCCTTTACAGCATTTCCCGGCCACAAGAATTTGCATTTCCTCTAAACTCTAGGATTCTTTAAATTACAAAAGGGAGTAGCAGAGAAGTATCTTTATGCAACCTTCTATTTGTCATTGTTAACTTACCATTTCCAAAATGTTTTATCATTTGTACAGGTCTGAGAGTATTGTATGTTTGAAGCCACAGCAGATAAAAATTCAGATTTGTTTTTGCTTTTAACTCAGATGCGTTTTTGGCAAATTTCTCCTATGGTGGATCGTTGTCAAGGGTATTTTCCCCTTAGAGCTATGTGGAAGTTTAGAATTACATCTGGGCATAGATTCAGAAGCAAATAAATAATAGACATAGCCAAGGATGTCACGAGTCATTTAAAACGACCATTTAAAGTAAAACAAAAATGTTTCACCTCTGCTAAAAGGGTGTTATCTTTCCTATATTGTTTTCAAAAAATATAAAGGTCTTTAAAAATCTGATGTTTAAAGTGATCAGATAGTTAAAGTGTAATACAGACATTTTTCTCTTTATAGACTTTCAGGTGGTCTTACATAGAACTATTTATATGCTCATAACCATCTGTTCTGGAGATCTGATGCTTTCTATGGCCTCTGCAGATACTGTACCATGCCCTGTACCCACATGGTACACAGACATATCTGCACACACAAATGCATGAAATAATGGAATGTAAAAACTACTTAAATCTCACCTTTAGCCATCTTCCACATCACCCGTGCTTTCCGTGTTACTTCCATCTCTGTCGCAGGAACACACACCACCCATAGCAGGTGTATTTATAGAGTCCTTTGTCAAGTCCTGTGAATCTGTACGGACTGGGAGTAAAACATCCCCCATTGTATTCCTTGGCCTCCTATTTGTCTGAACCAGGTTCGGCAGCAGCTCACAGTCCCGTGGTAGGAATCCAGGACCTTTCCAGTCATTCCTAAGGGTGGGGCTTATCTGTCAGTTCCCTGTGAGGGCTGTGGGGCTGCCCCTTGCAAATCTATGGTGGCGAGGAGGCCCCCAGGACCGTGTTGCTGACACTCGATGAGTAGAGTCCTGAAAGCTCAGCTGAAACTCAGCCTTCTGAAAATCAGAGCTATCTGCTTGTTAACAACCATGAGGTCATCAGAGGAACCAGAGGCTTCCCCTGGGTTAATTTATAAATGACTCAATCACCCTCACTGTGGTCAGATCTGTCCCTAATATATCCCACATTAGTACCATCATAAAAGAGAACAAATTTCTAGAAAATAAAATGAAACCGCATATAGACACATAACCTACGAGCCCTAGTTTGTTTTTAAAATTCTATGCAGCAATCACTATCACCTGAAGTCGCTGTAGGGCCCGCCTCCACTGAGTAGGCTCACCTCCTTCCTCTTCCACCTTTTGTGGGTGCTCTGATGGACATCAAATGTTCATTGTTTCCCCATCGACTTCCTAGAGCCCAGATTCTACTCCTCTGTCAAAACCTAGTCTTATCTCAGGACACAAAGACAAGGGCCACCCATGTTCCTTCTACTCCAAGGCAGAACCTCTATTGTTGGTGCCGCTTTAGTCCTTGGCCAGCAATGACTGGTAAGTCATGAGCTCAGCATCCTCATCCTCCTTCCTGACTTTTTGCCCCACTGCTCTTCTTAAACTCTGGAAAGCCTGTGAAGATTTATGATCACATGGTACCGGCCTGTCAGGTGCTCTCTTCCTCGTTTTATATGCCATTTGAGAACTGCTATCATGATCCTTAGGGCTACAGGAGTATTTAAAGCAGTTGTAACTTAATATCTGGAATTCAGCTAACAGCCTCCCTAGGCCTGGAGAACCGATTCAACTGTGGGTACCCTGGGCCTTTTGAGGGGCAGTTGTGGATTTAAGAGGGCGTGCTCCTGCCAACTTGTGGGAATACTACCTCACCCCAAGACCTAAAAATAGCCAGATGTGTTTTATCTAGCTCCTCCAAGATTGGAAAGCTCACTCAGGCTACTTTGCATATAACCAGGTAACACTGGTTTCTTTGGGTGGCAAAAGACAGTGGAACAGGTCTTTCTTCTGTTTTCTCCTAATGAAAGATCTCCCTAGGAGATGCCTCCTAAGGGGCATCCTTTGTCATTTTGCCATATTGTTAGTGTCACACGTGAATTCCTGTCCCCACCACCCCATGTAATTCAGTTCTGTGTTCTATACACAGTCAATAGCTATTGACAGTGGCCCTCCAGAGAAACAGTTTCGTCTGTTTTTATCATACTGAGCCAGCTGATTTTTTTGCTTCACAGAGTCTGACAAGATAGAGTCATCTCTTCGAAGTTTCCAGAAATTTGTTCCTACAGACCTTGCCAGCTACACCCAGGAGCATTATCGGTTTGCAGGCAAGAAGATCATCGTCCAAGAATCCATTGAGAACTATGGCACAGTGGTGTGGCCAGGGGTGAGAGATGCTACTTGCTTGTGGTCAGGCTTTCTGGAGATAAAACGTTTCATACATCAGTGTTGTCCAGGACAACTGGCCCTGTGCCTTCTCTCCTCTGTGCTTTTCTGACCGATGACTAACAGCCTGGTCCCCCAGGGGCTTGGGTTGTGTTTGGACTCTGCAGACATACATTTCTTCCAGCAGCACTGGCTTTGAAACAAAATCCTCCTCTCCCTTTCCTGTATCTTCCTCCTCTTGCCCCCTGCCCATCCTTTCTCTTCCTTCTCATCCTGACCTGTGTACCATCACTGAGCTACACACACCCCAATCCCTAAACAATATTTACTGAACTATTTCAAGAGACGTAAGTAGACCACATTGGAGATGGGCTGTAACACTCATACAACTATTACATGAAAAAGCTAAGGATTTATAGTTTAGAATTGGCAACAGGCATCTTTGGGGTTCCTTCATTCTCAGTCATTAATTAATCCCAGACTTATTTCACAAGGTAAATTGCAGAGACTTCAGAGGAAACTCAGCAGCCAGTTCCCTACCTCTCACTTCCCATGCTTGTGAGGATAGTAGTGAAACAGACGGAAGTGCATTATCTTCAGGTTGGGTGGTCACGGACAGTCACTTGACCATTTTTCTTTGGTTTCCTTATTTCAAATGTGAACTAATGGTAACAAGGAGTTGCTGACATGCTTGTTCAGATTAATGAGGCACTACACCTAGGCCCCTATTAGCTCTAGTTACTGATACATTATTCCTACCTCACAGCTGAGAATACAAGGGCTCAGTAAGTTCATAGGCTGTATAAACCTTAACTCTGGGGTGCTCTGGGGTCTAGTATTACCAATCTTCCCAATGCAAGCCTGTCCAGAAGGTTAGAACGGCTCCACAGCAGAATCCTTCAGACTTTGGAGTCATACTGAGATCCTACTGAAATGCATATTTTGATTGAAGACTGGCTCGGGGAAGGAGGAAGGTTGTGACTATTATTTCCTAAGAACTGTCTAATACATATGATATGGTAAGGGGCTCTAAGTTGGAAAGCCATGATGGTGGTTCTGTGGAGCACTGAGCAGTCATGAAGAGGGTTCCATGAAGGTGGTCCTGGAGATTGGTAGTAAGTGAGATGAGTCAGGTCTTCTGGTCTGGGGGCTCTTTTGCCACATTTACACATGGGTACGATTTCATTCCAGCAAAGGTCTGTTCCCTGACCCAAATTTGAAAACACCACACTTCCCTGCTTCCTTTCCTATTACATCAGGCAAGCAGGTAACTAAAGTGATGGCAAACATTGGGAAAAGAAAGGCCTCAGCCTGTCGTGCACCAAACTGGCCTCTCGTGGGATCTCTAAGTGGGAAAATGGCACTTGCTGTGTGATTTCTGGTGCAGCTGTCCATGAAGAGAGGTTACTTCAGGGTTTGCCTGGAGGGATAGAATTGGGGGTTTGAAATGTCAAAAGGACACTTATTGGAGAGCAGAGTGTCCTCAGAGGGAGGCTGGCCTTGGCCATCTTCACAAAAATCACACAGAATATGTCTTCTGGGTCACTCTAGGTGATACTCAATACTGAAGGTCCCCACACAAGAACTTCTCCTTGCCAACCAAAGCCCCCTTCCTCGCCTTGGTGCTCTCTGGCATCTGACTCTCACCTGGCAGGTCATGTGCATCTTTCTTCAGCTGGCACACCTCTCCCCACAGGAGGAAGGCTGCACTGAGTTCCCAGTGGTCTCTAGTGTGCCCTGTACCACTTGTATGCCTCGTATATGCCACGTAAAACACAGTATTTTGTAACTGGTTTACCAGTGTGCCTTGGAAGCATAGATAACTGCTAGTATCCTTGCAAGTATCTGTTTAATAGGAGCACAGAATGCAATGGGGGTGATTAGGTTTAAATAACTGCTATCATCCTTGCAGAAATCTGTTCAACAGGAGCACAGCATGCAATGGGGTGAATAGGGTTACTGTGCTGTCCACCTTATGAACTGCAATGATGAAAGCGGGTGTTCAGGAATTCCCTAGCCTAGCCCAGCCTAGCCCAGATAGAAAGATAGATAGCCCAGATAGAAAGTAGAGTGCAAACTATTGAGCTCAGCTGCTTTGCATCTCCATGCTCCACGTCCACACCACAATCCTGGCCTGTGCATGCATCGGTTTGTTACTCTTTTGCACATACTTCTTTCCCAGGGCATTGCTAGCTGGCATTCCATTCACACACGGGGTTGGGGGGGAGGGAGGGGCAGAGAGAGAGAAGGTCCTGGGGCTCACTATATAGGCCAGGCTGGCCTTAAATTCACAGGGATTCTCTTGCCTCTGCCTCCTAAGTGTTGGGAACAAAGCTGTGTGCCACCATGCCCAACTAACATAAATAACACTTCTTTGGTGAATCAATGAGATATCTCACTATAGAAAAATTGGGGGAAGTAGAAACAAAGAATAAATGAACAACGAAAAGGACATTTGATGTCATTCACAGAAACTAATTTCCTCTCCTTGTAGTCCAGACTGGCATCATCAGGACTCACCTAGACATGCAGACCCAGACCTATAGAAGCTACGGATCTGCGTCTTTAACCAACTACTCTGAATACATGAAGAAGTACTATTCTGATCATGTTTATCAGCTAAGAGGAAGAAGGGAAGAGGGAGAGGAGGGGGAGGACTCCAAATTGGCCAGCTGCCCAATTAATGCAACAGTCCTAATTAATCTGAATTTTGATGAAAGAACTGGGGGAAAGGTGCTCAAATTTATTTAACTTACCTGAAGCACTTAGAGACCCAACATGACAAAGCTGGCAGGAATTGCTATTTTTCAGTACACGTTTCCCATTTATTTTAAGAGTGGAACTAATCTTTCTCTTCCTTTTCCTTCTTTCTCCTTTAAGGTCAGTCAAGTCTGACACAGACAACAAGACTAATCTATTTCTCCAGTTCCTTAGCTAGAACTATAATATCCATACATTAAGTTTCTCTTCCTTTTTGGATGTAGGAAAGAGACAAAATCATAGTTAGCTTGGGCTGGCTCAAGTTTCTCAGTGCTGTGCTTACAGATCTGAGCCTCAATATCTGGCTATTTTGGTTCTCAGTGAACACTAAGCTGAAAATATTTAGAGTTACACCGAATGTTCAACTACGAGTGTACAGTGGCCTGCTCCTGGCTTCTAATGATCCAATTCCCAAATGGAAATTGTTGTTAATGTCTTTTAGGCTACAGTTCTGTGCCAGTACTTGGAAGACCATACTGAAGAATTAAATCTCCAAGATGCTAAAGTACTTGAAATCGGTGCTGGACCAGGACTTGTTTCCATCGTGTCCTGTCTTTTAGGTTTGTTTCTTCTTGTTCTCATTTCAAAAAATCTCTTCTGTGACAATACTGATTTCTTACTGCTGACAGTATGACTTGGCTTCAATTTCACTGAATCATTCCCAAATGTCACATGCCAGGCACCATTAGTCATTCGGAGATAACAGTCTTGGAGAAGCTAGTCAGCCACTGCAATTCATTTAGTTTTCAGGCAAGGAAGTTGAGAGTCCAAAGGTATGAAACCAAATCCCTTTGACATTCATGAGTAGGGGTGGAGTTTCAAATTGGGGTGCTACTGACATCAAATGTGGTGCACAGAGAGCACAGGTTAGGAATACAGGAGAAAAGTGTCCAGCTTAAATAAGATCAGCTTGCCCAGCCTATACCAACAAAGGCATGGTTTGGAGATGCAGATGGTCATTGTCTGTCTTCTAGTAAAGGAAATTGTGATTGCAGTACCATCTCTCTTTCTTCTAGGAGCTCAAGTCACAGCAACAGATCTGCCTGATGTCCTAGGAAATCTTCAATACAATCTTTTAAAAAACACACTGGAATGCACAGCTCATCTACCTGAAGTGAAGGAGCTGGTATGGGGGGAAGACCTGGACAAGAAATTCCCTAAGTCAAACTTTTACTACGATTACATCCTGGCCTCTGACGTGGTCTATCACCACTACTTTCTCGACAAGCTTCTGGCTACCATGGTGTACCTTTCCCAGCCAGGCACTGTGGTGCTCTGGGCAAACAAATTCAGATTCAGCGCCGACTATGACTTCTTAGATAAGTTCAAGCAAGTTTTTGATACCACTCTCGTGGCTGAACATTCGGAGTCATCAGTGAAGCTTTTTAAAGGGATACTAAAATGGGACTGATGTGTAAAGAGCCTTTCAAAGTATCAGTGTCTTGTGAGCTCTCAGAAGGCACACTGTACCGTACTGATATAGCTAGAATAAGTGCAACTCAATACGACAGCTTTACAAGATGATAAAACAATATGGTCGGACTAAGTATCTACAGAGAGCACAGAAACACGAAAGCTGTCTTGCTAACTTCCCACGAACCTTAGTTAAGTGCTGAATATATTTTACACAAAGAAGTTAACGAACAAGTGGGTTCTTCCTACTTGTTTCTACTATACTGCCTGGACTTTACATGTGCCAATGTGCTTTTGTCATAATTACTGACATGCAACTTAACAGGGTCTGTGTAGCGCAGGGCAGCTTTGAAATAGATTCACCCCGGCCTTAGTCTCCTGATTACAGGTTTGTGGCAGTGATTGGCATACTGCAGCTAGGACATGTATATGGGCTATAGCAGGGAGATGGTAACACTGACTAAAGGTGCAAACATGGAATCTCCTGGAAAGAGGAGATGGATGTCTTTAGAGATGGCTTGGCAGTTGAGAGCACTGGCATCTCAGCATCCATATAACAAGCTGCTGTTCAGCAAACAACTCTCTACAGCTCTAAGGGATCTGATGCCTTCTTCTGCACTCTAAGCACCACAGGTACACACACTGACACATACATGCGCACACTCAGACACATATGTATCTAAATGAAAATTTCTCTAGAGAACTTACAAGTACTTTACCTCAATTACATGTAAAATTTCCCATTAAACTTCTATATTGCTTGTTTATCCCCCATCAATTTCTTATTAAAATTCTTATAACATTAGAAAAGAATGCAATTACTTGTTCTCATAAGACATCGTAAAAATGAAAAAATAAGTATCACAAGGCTGGGTGGGGGGATCAGTCAGTAACGTGCTTGCCACAAAAGTGTGAGAATCTGGATTCAATCCTTCAGAACCATATAAAAAGCTGGGCACAAGCAGTATATTCCTGCAGTCCCACTGCTGAAAGATACAGGAAGATCCCTGGTGGCTTGCTGGATGGCAAGTCTTATCCTAATCATTGAACTTAAGTTCAGAGATCTTGTCTCAAATATAAGGTAGACAGTGATTGAGGAAAATACCCAGTGTTCACCTTTGACCCCCACACAAATGTGTACATATATGAACATGTACACTCCCCCATACACTAAAGTTTTTCTTTTGAAAAAAAAAAAAAACAAAATTCTGACAACCATTATCACACACACACACACACACACACACACACACACACACACACACACACACAATTATGTATCTTCTACTTTCACTAATAAATAAAAACAACTAATCATGGCCAATGCATTAGCTATGCTTTCCTAAAAAGGAAGAAAACTTTTTGCAGTACTCTGCTTTTAGGATACAGAAATTACAGGATCAAGTCTCACAGAAGAAACCATGTAGGAAAGGACAGTGGTTTTGGTAACTGCACGTGTGGCAAACACAGGGTATTTGTTTGAGAACTCAATATAGTTTTACTGGGAAGTCAATCTGGAAATCACTGGTTTCTCAGTGTGAATTTCAGTGACTGAGTATGATAAAGCCATAAGAGAGTCATGATGGTGGTGGGGTCAATGAAACAAAATGAAATTCAGAAATACACTCCCACACATACTCAGCCAATTCTGAAAAAGGTACGAGGGTCACTCAATAAGGAAGTATTTCCTAAGTCACAGATGCAAGAATAAACACTCTGAACACAGCCATACAGCAGACCCTTGGATCTTATCCAATTCCACAGTCCAAACAAATAGTAATATAGACGGAAATATAAGTGCTAATAACTAAAAATGTTGGAAAACACAAAAAGGGGCAAAATCTTTCCAACCTTGGTGCAAAAAAAAAAAAAAAAATGAGAAAATGGATGCCATGTGACGACAGAGCTCACGTGGAGTTTTTTTTGTTTGTTTTTTGGTTTTTGTTTTTAATGGAGGGGAGAGAGGAGACCAGCCTCTGGAAACAGGATCAGCAAAAAAGAGAGAGGTGGGGGGGGGTGGACAGACAGACAGACAGAATAAATGAGCACAGCAGGTGCTCTTAGTGGCTGCAGCTGAAGGTTTATCCCAGAACCCCAAGGTCAGACCAGGACAAGTGCCTGAATACTAACAGTCCTCCCTTATTATTTATGATAAAAAGATGAAGAGTTAAGAAAGGTGTACAGGGATGAGGACACTGTGTTCTCAAGACTACTTCTTGCTGACCTGGGGGAAGGCGTCAGTCTTTGGGGGACCTGGGAAAGCTGGGGTGCTGGGCCCGTCCTAGAGTAGCTGGCTGTTTCACTTCACCGTCCAGGCTCTGTGGAACTGTCAGGGGCTGCCTGGACCTGGCCAAATGCTGTTCAAGGTGGATCCAAATCAACTCCTGAGGACTTAAAGCACCTGATGGTTTCCCATCACTACAACCCCGATATACGGCCAACAGTTGATAGTCCTGCAACAAAAACTGATTAGGAATGGTCAGTGGGTCTCCAGAAGCATCGCAGTGGGAGCAAGGATGTATTAACGATGACAGTTCCCATGAGTGAGGCAGAGAAGACCCAAGGGTCTGCAATTATAGCGTCCCAGGAATTCAGAGGGTTGATTTTGAGATGGCACAGGCTGCTAACAAACTGACGGAGCAGGGGCCAAGAACTCTGAGCCTGTGACACAGTCACCTTGTACCAGGACTTCTAGATAAGACAGAAGGGGAGGAGAGGACTGTGCTCGAAAAAAGGAAGCCTGACATTCAGGGGAATGGTCAGAGGCAGGTGGCCCCTCCAGAGACCCAATTGTCAATGATAGGTGAAGGTCAGTGATCAAAAAAGATTTCTTGTAGGTCGAAGAGAGCCATCTGTTGAGGGTGGAGCAGAAGAGTAGGGTCTCAGAGTGAAGTGATCACCTTTCCGTGAGCTCTGCTACTGAGTGAACATGCCGCATGCAACAGAGTTAATGTAAGAGGTTTATTGGGGGAGGGGGACAGCGAGAGAGAGAGAGAGAGAGAGAGAGAGAGAGAGAGAGAGAGAGAGAGCGCTCATGCGGAGGGATTTTTATTGGGGGAAAGGAAATGAAAGGGAAAGGGGGAAGGAGAGAGAGAGGAGACTGGTCTCTGGGGACAGGAGTAGCAGAAGAGAGGCAGAGGGAAGGGAGGGGAGGGGAGAAGGATGAAAAACAAAACCACCACCACAATCACAACAAACCCAACCCACATAAAACCCATCACGTTGCAAGCAAGACATTCAATCAGTATAGTTATGTTAGAAAACAATTTGAAAGTTTCTTACATTAACAAAAAAAGCCAATAAACAGCAATTTTTCCAAAATATTTTCTTTTTTTATCCCACAGTACAAACACCCATGTGAGCAGATAAACAGAATAAAGTATATCATGTAATAACTTTTTTTTTTTTTTAGTATTAATCAGTCATGAAGGGCACCACAGGGCCAGCCTACAGTGTGCATTAAACTCAAGAATATGGCCCTTTTCAGGAAACCTGAAGAGATTTCAAATTTTGTCATTCCATTTCGAGAACGGGTAGAAAACTCAAGAGTAGTGATTCAAAGCAGGCCATGCTTGTTTAGGGACAAAGTAGGAATGGGAATTGACTGCAAACAGACAAATGACTTGTTTTAAAATCAGGTTGTGCCAGGTGGCGGTGGTGGCGCACGCCTTTAATCCCAGCACTTGGGAGGCAGAGGCAGGTGGATCTCTGAGTTTGAGGCCAGCCTGGTCTACAGAGCAAGTTCCAGGAATGGCTCCACAGCTACTGAGAAACCCTGTCTCAAAAAAAAAAAAAAAAAAAAAAAAACCAACAACAAAAAAGAAAGAAAGAAAAAGAAAAAAGACAGTAACAGGTTGTGCTAGGGGTTGGTGACATGGCTCAGGAAATAAACAAGCTTGCCTGAACTTAATCTCTAGACTCCACAGGTAGATGAGCATCAACTCCCACAAGTTGCCCTTTGACCTCTGTGTGTGTGTGTGTGTGTGTGTGCACATGCCACGCAAATAAACGTAACGAAAAGTTAAGAAAATTCAAAGGGAGCCCAGTTTCTTCTCAAATGTTCTACCTTTGAAGTATATAATAAAAAGAAATAAAATTACAGCAATTGGATCCTGTTTTCTAAGTACCATCTTGGACTTATAAATGTTCTTATATGTATTTCCATCCAGGGTAAGAGAGAAATACTTTTAGAAAGTATGGACTGAGTATATTAAGCAGACAGACTGCCTCCTGGTGTCCAGCACATAGTTTATCACAGGGCCACCACAGATCAACCAGGACAGCAGACACAGAACAGCGCCCTGGCCCCGCATCCCCACAGGAGTTCAGCTCCTTGAAAATCTTTCTTATTCTTTAGACCTCAACTCTCCTTCCCACTACAGCAAATTTGAAGCAAATCACAGAAAAAAATTCCATCTCCAACTTCAGTTTGTCTCAAAGTACAAGATGTAACTGGATAAACACATTTTGTTTTTCAAGACAGGGTTTTTCTTTGTAGCCTTGGCTGTCCTGAAACTTACTCTGTAGATCAGGCTGGTCACAAATTCACAGTGACTCTTAAGTCCTTGGATTAAAGGCATGGCCCACCACCTCTCAGCTTTAAAATACAAATTTTAAAAATTAAGTATGCAAATTTCATTGTTTCATGACATGACATTTCTAGTATCTCAACAGACCCTCAAAGGTCTGTTTCATTTATTGTTTTGGGTCTTATTTCCATCTGCTGTTCCCATATGCTCCTGTTCTTGTAAACCATACATTCTGATGCCTCAGACTTGGAATCAGCTAGGGCAAGCCTAGACTAGTTCAATTAAGTTACAGTTACGAGTTAACACAAATTGCTGCTGGAAGCTGAATTCTGAGTTAGTCTATTCAAGGAATCATTACTGGCATGTGCTATGTATTAACTTGCAAACTCACATACTTGAGTCCAAAGGCAATTACTATAGCTCCTCTATGTCCTATGCATGTTTGCTAAGAGCTGGCGGTCTGTTCCTTAATGCACTTGGCTGTGTGTATGGCTGGAGTGCACACACACTGAACTCACTGCAGGACTGTCATTAACCACTGGATGGACAAGGATTGAAGAGACCATACATACAGTTGTTAGCT